GGTGCTGGGACCCACCCTCTGCCCGGCGCGTGAGCGGCTACGCCCCGAGACCTGCCGGGCCCTAGCGCCGCCGCCGCCATTTTGTGACAAGCTGTCAACGGAATTCCCGCTGTGCGTGGTGCGAGGGGGCCTGGGGCCTCCTTCTGAGGGAAGCACCGCGTGACCGTTTGCAGTTGAGAGGGGTGTCCTTATTCCTGTCCGCAAGCGTACAGAGCTAAAGCGAAGTAACTCCACAGTGCTGAGGTACGGCTGTCATTAGCGGCCTCTAACTACAGGTGCAGAATCCTAATACAACTTCATTTTAGGATTTTGTTAATGCTGAGAAATTGGGATAGTGCTCTTCTCATTTTTGTGCTTAGTCTTTTTTTCCTCCCAGACCCGTTCCTTCCAAAGTTCTGGCTTAATAGTTACATTATCTCCCTGAGATATTTTGAAATCTGTCAAACTCAAGAGGGACTCAACTGAAATTTTAAGTTTATTGTAAATCAATGGATTTGTAACATAAAGTCAGTATTTGCAGAAAAAGCAAGGCACATTGAAAATGATGTTACTGTTACAGACTGAAGGAAGGGACAGGTGCAAATGGCATAAAAGCCACCAAGTATTTGTATGTTTTTATAGTGGTGCTTTATTCAGTCATACTGAGATATACTTGCAGAAAGTACCTTTAAAAAAAAAAAATCAAGTGTCTGTCAAGTTGGAAACCTTGTAGCTACAGGAGAAAAGCAAGGGACAGTTATTTTAATGAATATTGCCACATTTTCCCTTACTTATGTGTGTTTACATGAGAGACTGACAGGAGGTACAAACACATGGGCTGGAAAGTCTTATGGATAGGCTGCACTGAATAGACTCAGGATATTTAAAAGCAGTGTCACGTTTTCCTGTGGGATGGGGACTCGAGGCCATGCTCTGCCATCTTTCCTCATTGCGGTATGAATTATTGTCGCCAGATATTTTAAGACTGCGTTTGCTGGTGTTCTGCAGTGCGCTGCATCCTTCAGCCGCATTTGGAGGTGCAGTGTTACCTACTACTAGTCAACTCCTGAATTATACCATCTGAGGCAACCTGGAAATACCTCGGTGCTCTTGAAGGGCAGTATTCAATTAATGATTAAAATGAGAGAGGTGCAAATGGAATTCCAGACTTTAATCCTCTGAACTTCTTGGCTCAAAGATACATACTGCTTTGTCTTCCAGGGGTTTCCAGTGCGTGGCACTGATCAGCAGTGGTTTGGCGTGCCTGATTCTAATTTTTTCTTTTGTTTCAAACAGAAAGGGGAAATGCCATTAAGTATGTGGGCTAAATGAAAGAGAATACAAAAGCACTCTTTGGTGAGTGACTGATAATAGGCTGTGACAGATGCTTAGTTTGATAGTAACTAAAACAATAGAGTTCAAGAGCATAAAATACGAGGTATAAGAAGTGGGAAAGAAAAGAAAAAAATTACTTAAAGGAAGAAATCATGCTGATAAAATTAAATAAAGCAAAACATTCTTTCTCTCCAGTGTGGAAGTGAATAGGTTTTTCCAGAGCCTATTGTCTAATGTTTGGGATGTTGCAAGACTAAATGATAAACATATGCTTCCATGGAGTTATTTTACCATTTGCTTTGTTAATTTACATTAATCATAGAAACAGAAATATTAATTAGAACTAGGGATAAAACCATGTTCCTGCCAACATTTTTTCCTGTCTCAAGAAAGATTTAATATTAGCAAATGTATAGGACTGATTTTTCTGTTCTTTTATATATTATAGGGATCTCTTACAGTTAGTGTATTGTGTACAGCTTCAATCTCTATTTAGAGTAGATTTATACAGCCTTCAAAGTTCATCTTCCTTAATAATCTTCAGCATCACCAGCACAGATAGCAAGTAAAGCACTCTCATAATGACCTGAAGCAAAATGCTGCAAGAAAAAAAAAATCAACATTTCTGTTACTATACGTTTTCTTAATTTTTCTTCTCTTGGTGTGTGACAAGGACTAGACTGATGTTGTAAGGGTTTTGTAAAATATGACAGTGTTCCTAAGGATTCTAGGCCAAGATTTTTTTAATTTCACGTACCTTGGGCTTTGATTGCTTGGGGACCTAGAAACAATCGACCTTTGAAATGTTGGATCAAACCTGTTTAATACTTCTCAAGTTCAATACCAAAAAATCATGAGCAATTTCTTACAGTTACTGCACATCTTACAGTTGGATTATAGCAACTAAAAAAGGTCAAGTGTCTTAGCAAGAGTCATTTTTGTACAATTAAACAGTGTCAGAGTTTTGTTTTAAGATACAGAGCAAGAGTACATGAGGAATAGTTGATACTAAGTGCAAGGATAAAACCAGATTTTTATCTCAGTTTTGCATGAGAGTGGTATCAGCCTAACCTTGCAGGTCAGCGTGAAAAAAGATGGTATCAATTAGTGTTGAAACTATTCATGCAAACTATTCCTCAGCATACACTGTCCTACCCTGTTTATATCTTCCTCTTGCTGTTGAGGAGGGATGAAATCACATAGAATGAGGATGAGTTGAGTATTCACTGCTCACTTACTAAGGTCAGCATGAGGCACTGAGAAGATACGCTATTGTTTTTATACATTGCCTTTTTTTTTTTTTAAACCAAGTGATTGAATGGGTATTAACACACACAGTCCGTGTGGTGCCAGTGCTGAATATATGCAAAAGTGGGTAAAAACTTACTTTAATGTCATGAAAGAGTGATTTCCCGTATCTCTCTTTGTATCGCTGCCGTATATTCATCAAGTCAATCTCACTCCTGGCAATGAGAATCCTTATAACTGTTTTATTGTGAAAGCCAAAGTCCTAAAAAGAAAAGAAGATGAGAGGAAGCTTGAAAGCTGGACAGTATGTGTTTGCCTATCTGTATACATTCATATTAATGTTTAAGAGATAAGCCAATTAATTAGGCTACCATAAAGATATCCTAGATTTTAAAGAAGTCAAAGCATTCAAGGCTTTTTTCCTACAGAGTTTTCACATGCTCAAATAGTAGAATTCATGTGACTGGATAACAGAGATTCCCCACATATTGGTGTTCTAGCCATGCACTGAAACTTTTAAATAGAAAACCTGAAGAACTTTTGTCAGTATTCTTGGGTATTCAGTTTGTAGGTAGCTGTTGTGACTGTCGTTGTGGAGTCCATTCAAACTATGTTGATACCAATAATCTATTTCACAACAACTGCTGCAGAATGTGAATTCAATGAGATTTTTAACGATTGATTTGGAATTTACATAGCTTGTATTCAGCTGTGCTTTAATTTTACTTTTTCTAAATTGTCGTATTGTAATTGTGTGGAGCATGGGGACATCTAGTGGCAATAAAAGTAATTAAAACAGTTTTAGGGTTGGGATGACTGATGACCAGTTTAGATTGTTTAAAGCTAAATTGTAATTTTATCGACTAGCCTTTGATATTGAAATCTTGTTCTCCAAAAAACAAGTAATGAGATATATTAAAAAAGCTGCATATAGACAATTTGATACATGTTTGATGGCTAGATTAAAATATTTCTTAGAAACCATTATGGGCTATGATTTCAAGCGTTAGAATCCTGTGTGGGTTTTATTATATTGTATTATAAGTGGATGTGTAAAAAGCTTGTGGTATAATCTGGACACAGCTTGTCTGCAAAAATACAGAGTATTTTAAATTCTTGTGTTTCTTTTGAGAATTATCTGTATTCATTAAAATGCTTTGAGAAAACAGTGTAAAATATTAATGAAAACAAAATGCAAATGTTTATTCTTAACAATTAAAACCTTTTTCCTGCATCACATATATGATCTGAATAGAATATAGAAGAAAACTATCTATGTGATGTTTTTTAAAATTAAAAGTGAGGTTTTAACTTGAAAAGCTGCCTTGGTACAGGACCTTTGAGAAACATCACTTTTCCTGATAGTCGGTATTTCCTGGTACTTTTGGCAAACCTTTTTCATGACATGTGCCAGAATCCTCTTTTGACCACTCAGACAAAATACTGCCTCTTCCTCTCAGCCCCTGGGATTTTCCTGGGTTCTTTGCTGCCACTGTTGCTGGTTTCACTGAAACAGGGGATGGCAGTAGTGGCAGCATCTGGAAGAGGAAACTGGAGCCCTGTTGAAGTGTTGCTGAAAAGTTTTGTTTGATGGTTCTGGCTTGAATCCTATCTGCCAGTCCTGCTCTAAGATGATACTTTATATTTTACCCATGGCTGGCTTTTATGACCATCTTCTAAAGATTACACTTAAAAAATTAAACTTCAAATATTATACATCTTTTATGTAACATAATGCTTCATTATTTTCACTAATGAATGAAAAACAAATAAAAATGTCTTCAGTGACCTCTAGTAGGAAGAATTTGCAGGTGTTTTTTTGCATTTACCCACATTTCTTCTTGGCACTCATTTGTTTTAGTAGGTCAGCATCCACACACAAAGGTAAAGAACCTGAATATGTACACTGAGTCCTACAAGAAAATAGGACTATTTGTTTTTATGTAACGTTAATTTATGATTTCGTTTTTAGTGATACTTATTAAATCTCTAGAGATAAAAATTGCATAGTAAGAAAAGTGCACATTGAGTTCTGCACAGCAGGGGGAGATACAATCCATAGAAAAGAAAGATTTTCAATTGAAAACAAATCGACAGTTATCAGATTTTTTTTAAGAATCTAAATATTTAACCTTTTACTGTTACTGTTAGATCCTAACTGTTGCTTAGGCACTACTGCTTTGAAATTTATGTTGGTACCAACAGTTTTAAGACATGCAGTCACACCTTAAAGATTGAATGGGCTGATTTGTAAGTACTTGTTTAAGAATAATCAAGCAAACAGAAAAATAGGGACACTACTTTTTATGATACGTGATGAAGAAAGACTACTTACATGAATTGCGTTATAAAGCCTGTAAGCAAAGTAGGAAGGCTTGTCGCGAACACAGAGAACTAGGAGAGAAGAGTTGCAACAGGTAAACATAAGATTATAATATAATATTTTCCATTGGCTTTAGGCTCCTTGAAATAGAAAGCTGTGTACTGCTGTCCATGACTCAGCTTAAAATTAAGCTATTAGTTTTCACAAACATAACTATATTTATAATTTTAAAATCCTGGAACTTATTTTGGGTGGCAACTCATTGCTGTTGCATCAAAAGGCTTATTAAAAATCAGTGAATATGCTCACATGACATCATTGTACAAATACTATTATCCTTATTCTGTAAGTGGAAGACAAAGGCACATAAAACTTGGAACTTTTTTATATGCTACTGAAGTCCTGAAAACTTTGCCAATTATTTAATATGTATAGAATCAGTTGGTAATGCAGTTCTCATTGATCACATAAAATTTGTTATCAAATAAAGAACACCTATTAGTTCTTCTCAGTCAGAATCTAGTGCTGCAGATATACATTTTTAGATGTACACAAACATGGAAAAGTAGTTCAAATATTCTTTTCTAATTATCTCTGGAAATTTAATTACACAATATAGGACAGTAAAGTGGATAAAAATATCAGAAAAACAGTATTCTTGATGCATCAGAGATACCATGCTAGATATTTATTAAAACATTACTGCTAGTATAAAATAATATTTTTACATTACCTATTGCAACCAGTAATTCTTGAAAGTATCCATCATAACATTCATTAATGGCATCTACTATGTCTTGCCCAGAGATATTTTGGAACTCCTGGAAAACTTGGGGGTAAAAAAAATTCTTGATTATTCTTGTTCATTAATAATGATCAAATTGCCTTTTTTCTCCTGCTTCTCCTCAGTACCATAAGTATTGAGTTTATTTTTTTTCCTATTTATTCTCATTGTTCCATTATGTTTTTATCCCCCAGCTAAGGCAATCTACATGAGTAGCCTGAAACTTGGCTTCCAGGACATTCTCTCTCTGGGTTCTCCAGCATACAGTATAAAAAGAATGCATGCCAAAGCCTCTGTTTCACTTGAAGGTTTAATAAATCTCCATCTAGCAACCTCTGTTTATGAAACTTGTAAGAATGTCATGAAGCAAGAACATGTAAGAAGCAAGAACTTCCTTGCTCAGCTTGGCTAAAACTGGCCAGAGATTCACAGATTGTGAAGCCATGGTATGACATGCGTCACATGTCAGTTATCCAGACATGGACACTCTCTGGATAATGCAGGTATCCAGACTTACACACACGAATATACAGAGCGTGCTTACTCCTTTAGGGGAGGAGGAAAATTTTGAACTCACTGCTTCCTACAAAACTTGCAGAGGACTACAACTCTTGCAGAGGCAGAGCCTTCAAATCCCTGTTACAGAGAGTAGAGCATAAGCTGGTATGTTATGTTAATCCTGTCATCACCAGTCTTACAGAAGTCATGATAGAAGAATTAATTTGTTGATCCATGGCAGCAAAGTTGTTCTAAGCTACTGTTAGAAGTTGGCATAAGAAATACAGCTGGTTGCACAGTGATAAACTTATAACCAAACAGACTGCTTTTCCACTGCTGAGCAAAGAAAAATCTCAAACTTGTCACCAAACAGATACAACAGGTTTCTTTTCTACAGTGGAAGATCTGGATGATGTCACATAAATTTCTTGCAATCTGTAATTATGTCTGATTATCTATTTTAAATAAAAATGTCCTATTATGTTTCTGTGTGTATGTTCATTACAAGAGAGTGGATGTGGGCCCTGAAGTGTTCCCATCAAAAACTTCTTTGAAACTTACGGGGAAAAGCTTCAACACAACAATGTGTTTTCACATACAAACATTTGTTGAAAATGCTCCAGCTACCTCTCCCAAGGTGTTTCCACTCATAGCAAAGAGTTACTTAGGAAAAATGAAGAAAATACTTAAGAAAAATCCGCCTCATCCAGTTCTGTCCTGTGTAAAGTCAGTGCAGCCATAGCTTATGCCTGCCTTTGGTCTTGCGTTCTTCTCTCTGCTAATAGGCATCCTGATGTCTGTCTGTTCTATCTACAGCTGTCTGTAGTCCTCAGTTCAGTTTTGTATTACTTCCAAAATCCCATTAACATCAGTGGGAATCGCACTTAGGTTTCAGGCTAATACCCTGCTGCACACTGAGCTTCTTGGTATGTAAACCATGGTTTTATTAGCAAGTCAAATTTTCTCTTTCCTATGTTCAAACAGCTGAACTGCTGGATTACCCATCCACAACTGCTGGTAACTCTTGTTGCAGAGAATCATTTGCAGCATGTTTTTGTGTTCGCCTGTTTTCTGCTGACATGCTTCCCATAGAATCTAATATACCAGAAAAAGAAAAAAAAAAAGCAAATGATTTTAAGTAAGTCCTAAATCACTTTTCAACATTTGTATTTGTTTTTTTTTTTTTTGTTTTTTTTTTTAATGTTTGAGAAGCTCACATCTGACTACATTTACCATTGCATCCTGAGCAGCTGTAGAAGGATCTGCATATCCTTCCATCCTTGTTCCCTGGGGGAAAAAAGATAAATTTTCTTCAAAAGTTAAATCCTAGGAAGACTGTAGGAATGTAAAGTCATCTCTATATGAAGCTATGTTTCATTTCTTGAGATAACACCAATGGGCTTTTAGATGAGATCAATGTATTCAATCAGTGTATTCAATTCAATTCAAGCCTAGGACAGGTGAGGAGAGTTGGGCTTGTTCAGCCTGGTGAAGAGAAGGCTCTGGGGAGACCTTCTTGCAGCCTTCTAGTGCTTAATGGGGGCTTATAGGAAAGATGGGGACAGATTTTTTAGCAGTGCCTGTAGCAGTAGGACAAGGGGTAATGGTTTTAAACTAAAAGAGGGCAGATTTAGACTAGCTATAAGGCAGAAATTTTTCTCAATGAGGGTCGTGAAACACTGGCACAGGTTGCCCAGAGAGGCAGTGGATGGCCCATCCCTGGAAACCTTCAAGGTCAGGTTGGACGGGGCTCTGAGCAACCTGATCTAGTTGAAGATGTCCCTGCTCACTACAGGGGGTGACCTTGAAAGTTCCCTTCCAACCCAAAGATTCTATGATTCTATGAATGGTTGAATTTGCAACTATAGAAAGTATCTTCAAGTTGTAATGTTATGTCTTCACTTCCTCTAAGTAGAGGAACTCTGCAATGACAAACGGTCTTGTGAGAGGAAAAAATGGGGGCAGCGGATAAACCCATCCCATTTTTAGTCCCATTTTAAATAGCCTTTTACCTTATCACCGCCATCCCACCACCATTCCCAGTATTGTGGATGTTGTATTGCTTACTATAATATGTAACTATGAGGGGAAAACAAAGGTAAGAGTAACATTTGCCATTTGCTGGTTATTTCTTATCAATATGCATATTGCTAGAAGACTCTTTTCTCTTTTTTTTTTTTTTCTCTCCTTGTACAAACTGTAAAGCCCTGCAAGCTCATCAAATAATGGAGATTTTGCTTGCTCATAATCATTGTCTAAAATTAAGATCCAAGACTAGGAAATCGACAGCTTTGATACATACACCACAGAAGAATACTTCAAATGTTCCCATACATTTAATAGCTTCTCAGTTGCACAAATCAAGCTGATATGCTTAAGTAAACACGCTATGATCTGAATAGTTGCTAGTAAAAGAGAAGAGCACACAACTTCCGGAATTGCTTTTTTAACCATTATTGTCTTGTAAGGATACAAATCAGCCTTGGTTGCAGAACTCTTAAAAATCTCAAGCTACGTGTAATCACTGCCTTAATGATACATGTTTGAAACAATTTACTTAAGTTTAAAATTTACAGTCATTTTACCCTGTATGTGAAAGGGAGGATTAAAATACAAACACTGTATTGTCTGTCAACTTGTAGAATGACTGATTTGTAGCTCTTTCCTTTTAAAAATGTTAATTTATACTTTGATTAAATGGTAAGAAATTCATATAGTGGAATTCCTAGTAACAAGGCAAATTACTTGAAGGAAATTATGTTGGAATGACTGCATAGAGTTACATACATGAGAAAACACAGGAAAAAAGACAGACAAGTGAACAATAAGAAAAGTTAAATAATACTCTACATGAGTCAGATGCTTACTTTCCCCAGTAACATTTAACAGTGACTACTCTTGGCGTATTTTTGCTGGAGAATCCCACAATGTGTATAATTACTTTTTAAATTGTAGAAAAATATCACATTTCAGTTAATACCCCAAAAAAAAGAATTAGAATAAGTCTGTTTGTCTCATAGCAGAATGTTATTTAGCCTGAATTTTTAACTCTGTTAATTTATTTAGGAAGACTATAACTTATAACTTCTAATCTGCCTTAGTGTGGACATGAAAATTGTAAATACCACACTATAGCATTGAATAGTTTGCTCTCCATAAGTGAAGCACATTTACTTCTATCTGTAGTCAGATGTGTGTGTCATCAATCCCAAGATTTAATAGAAATCAAAGCAAAGGGTGTCTGAAAAAAGTATTAAAGGATGCATTGGAAATATTGCTATAGAGTAATCTTCTGTAAATTGCTAGATTTAGTGTTCTAGTGGTACTAGAACAAAAAGGATGTATTTTAATGAAATATCACTAGTTTTAATATAAGATTGTGTCCAAACATGGATGATTCAGCTAACACTCCTCAGAAGTATACAGTATAACTGACTGAAGTTGGGATTTCCTGCAATTCTTCTTTATCTTGAGAAAAATAGCAGTTAGATCTTGTTAGCTAAGAAGTTGCTGATTTCAAGCCTCTTTATCAATATCTGTGGTTTAACAAAATAAGGACTAACAATGTAGTCTCAGATAATTTGTTTTAAATTTGTTCTTTTGATGAGTAAAATGTGTCGCATGGTATTAATAAAGATGAGAAGTGAGGTTGCATAATTTGTAGCCCTTAGTTTTTAAGCAAGGAAGAGTTTTCGTTATTAAGGGGGAAAAACATCTAACATCAGAAAAAATAATTCCTGTTTATAGCTTCTACATTTGAAACATCTGCTCTTTATCTCTGTACCTCAATGAAGCCTGCTGCTATTTCAAATCTTAGTAAAAAACACTTTTTCCCCAGACACATGTATATAAAAATACAGATATACCTTATGTATGCTGTTATCTCCTTGCAGTCCTTTTGTCATTATTTGTTACTCTGGTTTACCAAAGAGTTTTAAGATAATGAGCACAGTGACAACAGTGAGAATGGGAACTCATGATCTGACAAGGATGACCAACTTTGTTGGATAAAACTACAAATTGGTAAAACTGTAAAAGGTGGTGTGTCATAGTGACAATTTGTTTACCTGCATGCAAACATACTGTGATTTAGCATATGCAGTAGCACAAAGAACATAATGTTTAAAAAAGAGAACTATTTAATACTTTCTTTCATAGTCAAATGTGGATATATCTCCATTTTTACATAATGCCTAGACTGGATTATGAACCGTATATTCTAACAATGGAGGAAACAGAGCTTTAAAAATGAAAATCTCATTTGTACATGCAAGTAGACTACTTTTGAGATGAGTCAGATTGAGCAGAAGGTCAGCAGTTGAATGGCCAGGGACTTACTCAATAAGTAAGGTCTTTTGACCTTTGCCTCCATCCGAAAGGCAAAGTCAAAGTCAAAGTAGATGAAGGAATTTAAGTTCTCTTCTGCTCTTCCCCCTCTCTTGTTCAAAAGTGTAGCCCTCTATTGAACTAGCTTTAACAACAGTCACCTTAAAATTTAAGACTTCTCAAATAGCATCGAAAGTTATTGTGATATTTTTAGAAATGTAAATCATACTACCTGTTTTTACAGTACCTGAGCAAGATTCATGAGCGTATCTCTGAAGTGACCTGAAGTCTCAGAATCGATATCTTGTTGAAGATCATTATTGTATTCTAGATTAAACCAGAAATGTATGATCTAAATCACAAATGAACATGCTCTGAGTAGTACTAATGAATATTAGCAAACAAAGGATAAATAAATAGGGTGCAAATACTCGTCCATTTTCTGTGGTGATTATTCCACAGTAACCCATGCAGGTTCTATGCAGACCTAGCCATGGGGCTGGCAGGTCTGTCCGGGTCCTGCTGGGGGGCCTCAGCTGCTGCCCCGGCTCTCCTGTCCACCCACCCATGGGCACAGCCCCACCACTGCTGCTGCTCTGTGGTGGTGAGATACTCTGAAATGTCCCACCAAGGAAGCCTGAATAAGCACTTTTTGAAGGAAAACAGCTTATGTACTTTTTTGAATAAAGTGTGCAAAAGTTTTTGAAAATCCCTGAATGTGGCTTCTGGGTATCTCAGATGTCATAGGCAGCAATACATCTCAAAAATACTGTGATGTATTTTCAACTTTAAACGTTTTGCATCAGCCTTTTGTATATAGTTATGGGAAAGGAGGGAGGAAGGGAACCAGTTGGTATTGAGAATTCATTTTTGTCATTCAGTTCCTTTATATGTGCTAATACATCTGGAGCACACATAGTACAACTGCTGCTGTGCACTTGTAAAAAACATTACGCATTAAGTAGGCTTCTTTCATCTGGAAGATCTCCATATTTGACCTTGAGGCTAATATGTCAATTAGGCATTTTTCTTCTGTGTCTACTCCCTGTGTGGAAAGAAGTAAATTTGAAAAGATATTGTTAGTAGAAGCCACAGCTTTTAGAAGAAAGGAATGCTGTGCTTATCAGAAGTAAGAAAAGAATAGCAGTCATTGCTGGAGCAATGCAGAGTGTACTTTTGCATAGTCTACCTGTTTAAATAGAAATTGACTTTAAATTAATAGTAGAACCCTGTATTTCAAATATATTCCTACTTAATGTGAGTTTCAGCATGTACATTAACAAGTGGGGAATGAAGCAAGACTGGTGTTGACAGAAACATAATGGGAAGAATTTTAGAGCTTTAGTAAGAATTTAGGATTTGTTGAAAGAAATCAGATGCAAAGATTGGGCATACATCCCCAGCATGTGTTCAGGCAATCTGAAGTAGATATGAGCACAACTATTATTTTGTGCTTCTATCTTCTTCTGTTTTTTTTTTTTTAATTTGTTTGTTTATTTAGGAATGTTACTGTCTGTGATGTCTACTGTAGAACTTGGTATTTAAAGCAGGTATCATGGCCATACATGCAATGCTGCAAATTACTGTATTTTCCCACAGGATTTGAATTAATTTTATAAACTTGAATTGACATAAGATATGCTGCATATGCTGCTTTTGATATGCACATGTATAGTGTTGGTGAGTATTCTGCATTTGGGATAAGGGGAGAACATGACATCGAGCCTGAGCCTGGAGACACATATGGCCTTTTATTTTACTTTGGCTATATGAATCCAGATCAAGATAGAATACTATAAGAAAGTTCAACTTTGAGCCACATTTAGAAAAAAAATAAAACTTTGGAAATCTTGTCAATAATTTTAATAAAAGTTATGCTTCCAGTGCTACCAGTGATATTTCACAGTACGTTTTATGCCAACTGTAATTAAAAATGTATCAGTAGTTCTAAAAAGTGCATTGGTTTAAGTGTCTGAAGGACAAGGAAAAATAATGTTAATTTTTTTTGAGGGGATTCTCAAAATATGTAAGATAGATCACCTTGCTCAGAGTTGTATAATCTGTGTCTTATTTGTGACAGTGGACAGTAGCAAATATTGATGGAAAGAAAAGGAAAACAGTTGAGCTCTGATACACCTTCCCATCTTTCAGGAATGGGCAATTTAGGAATTTCCTGAGAAGGAATTTGCCAAGGATTATTATTTTCAATAGCCAACAGTGGACCTGTTTTCTAAGAATTTATTGAAGTCCTTTATGAACTGATTTGTGCTTTTGGTCTCCACAATGCCCTGTGAGAATGAATTTCACCATTTAATTAGATGATCTTTGGAAAAATATTGTTGTTTGTTTCAAAACTTCACTTGCTTAAGGAGCACAGGCTCAGATCCTGGGAAGAAAAGGAAATATTTTCTTCAAAATGTGCAATCAGTTCAATTTGACTGGAGTAATCATAGCTTTGTCACAGAGTAATTTGTAAGTGTTTATGTAAAGACATGTTCTGCTAAAGAAGTATTGGTCTTTTCAGAGGTGGAGGCTTAGCGCATGGCAATGGCTGTTCAAATGGATTTTGTTCATAACATACATAAATGCTTGCAGGATCAGGGCTTTACATTTCCCTGTATAAATACTTCTTCACTGACTGAGTTTACCATGGGTGTTGAATGGGTTGTATTTTTTACAAGACAAGGATATTATTTATGCTGGTTTTACCATACCAATGAATAAACTTCATATAGCACTCTATTTCTGATGACATAGTGTACTACATAGTAGTACTACTACTCGTGTACTAACTTTCAGAAGTTTATCAACCATTGAAATGTAAAAAAAATCAGTTTAACATCTGTTCAGTACTGTAATTAGTGACTGTGACTCTAAGCAATTCTGAATTTGACAAATACCTTCAAGGCATGCCAGAGCTCATGGGCATCATAGGAGGCAGGTGGATACATCAAGCCAACCATGACTTCTTTGAAGTGATGAGAGAGATTCTCTTTTAAGTCCGTTACCAGATCCTTGAAAAGAAAAAGAAAATGCATAGTGAGGATTATTTCAATACTCACGATTTATGAAGACAGCTTAAAAAAAGTATTAGTGGTTTTCTCTGTAAATGAATAAAGATGAACTGTTGAAGATGAATTCTGGCTAAAATGAAGTAAGAAGAATATTCTTTTAAATTGTACCTGCTTCTTCTAATAGTATGTGTGAGATGACAATAAACACATGCCAGTACACTACGCAGGGTTGTTGATGCTCGGTTCATTAGAATACGGAATAAAATTCAGGCATTTAAGTGCAACTGCTACTTGCAGGCTTGGAAACTTGCATACCATGGCAAAGCATCTGCAGCTTCCCTTGCGTACTCCCTGTGCGAATCTGTGGAAGCTCAGCGCCTTTGGGATTCAAATCCCATAGAACACAGATGATTTTTTGTGCTTTTTTCAATGTTACTCACTATGTGAATAATTTAAAAAAATCATCCATATTGCTCCTAGTATATAAAAATATCTGCTTTGGATTACTCGAAGTTTATGTGGCTCAGTTTATGTATATATTACATTCAAACTGAATTCACTATGTTTGACAGATGCTGGATTAACAAAAAGGAACCTCCCTCTTCCCCCGCATGTGTCTCAGTACTCACTTGCCAGGTAGCTGAGTAATGGATGAGAGTTTCCTCCCCACTCTCAGCTTTCCTGGTAGTAATCTTCAAAACACTGCAAATGCCAAAAGCTTGTCATACTATTGCTGTTTCTGATTAAGAGGATACTTGTGCACTCACTTTTTTAATGTTTTGTGTACAGCACTAGGCAGCTGTCAGATATGTTCTGACCTAAGTCTGAATTTAAAGGAGTACCAGAAATGGTTCCCGTGACATAAACTATTATGTTTTCAGAGCTGCATCCTTTTCAGGCCTGTACTTCGGTTTTGAAACATATCTGAATAAATTAAATTAGTAGCTAGAGGACATATACACATATACACATTAAAAATTAAATTTATGATGAAGAAACATATGCAGTCTTCAGTGAATGCACATTAGGTGCATTTGGCAACCACTAAATCAGACATGGAACAGAAATTAATTCATTAAGACATTTCACTTCTGACAACATGCCTGTGGGAAAATGGGTTAATAATACAAATGGATATTAATTAAAAATTACTCCTGCAATCAGAACTAAGGGAAGCGAAGTATTGAAAAATAAGAAAAGACAACTCTAAGTTGTCATTATTAACATTTCCTAATCGTCTCTGCTACAAGAAATCCCTGAAGGACAACTATAAGAAGGAACTTAAAGCTTGCCTGTATGTCTGAATCATGCAGACAGTTCAGGGTTTTATTTTCTTTTTTTATATATTTCTCCTTCTAATGTGCCACACTTTACATTTGTCAAGTGAATGGGCATAGTGGCTACCATACTGAACAGGCTGAATTGAAATTAAGAGGGTGGAGGACTGGACAGACAGGTTTACCACAATTAAACTGAGAATGCTAAAATTCTTATTCCCTGTCTGTCTTCTCTGTCCTGCAGTTTACTGCTCATAAGCTGGCACAGCTGAATGGCATGTTTGCCCAATGCGATATATCCATTAATACAGATTACAGCCAAAGAAATGCTATCACTGACATGTGCTAAGGTATCTTCTGAGTGTAAACTGCAGCAATTCAGGGCTGCATCCTGCAGCAATCAGAGATGCATCCTATCCTGTTCAGCAGTTCTTGCCCAAGATAGCAAACTTTTGAGGCATCAGTCAAATAAATTGCATGGGACACTAACCAGATTAGGCATTTCAGTATATCTGCTCTCACAGATGAGACAAAAATGATCAGCATTCCTGTTTCATTTCTGAACTAGATTAGAGCTAATTTGTACTGACTCCTATTTCCACATGGCAAAAGGTAGAAGTAGGTGGGTTTTTTGGAAAGCTGTCAAGAATATCTTGATGTATCTTGCACTGTAAAGTATACCGAATGCTTAACAGATTCATTTAAATTAAAATTGTGGGTGTATATGCAAGATGTTCCATGAGTTTCAGAATTTTCTGTAGCCCTTGCTGGAATATAAAAATAGTTTGTGTGCCTTTCCTCTCTATTATTATTCATAGTTTTGGAGACTGAAGTTCTTAAAAATGACATCTGAGGTTTTCATTGTCTTTTTTAGTTCTTCTAGATCTTTAGGTCTGTGGCCACTGGCTTTATAGCACTTCAGATTGACTGAATATGGCTGACAGAGGTATAAATTGAAAATTTAATTTAATTGAAATTTAATTGAAAAAAAGGTGGTGTGTTTTCATAGGGTTTTATTTATTTGTTTATGTTTTTATTTTGGATTTGAAAAGAAAATACAAATAGATCAGTGGTGAGAAAGTCAGTAATTGTTCTCTATGAATATTAAATATGGCAAATTATAACTCCATTCCTGAAGGACATTTGGCAATTCTTTATTGAGATATCATTAGTGTTATCTCTAGGTCACCTTCACGTATCAGAGGGCAAAAATTAAAGATAAAAAGTAATATGAAGTTTTAAAATGTTTTCCCTTGTTAAAATGATAGGTCCAGTTGAAACACTCTAGAGAAAAGGTTAAAAAAAACCCAGCCTCCCGCTATGGGCAGAGTAGAGAAGGAGCACTGTCCAGTGATTAAGGAGATAAATGAAGACTTGAAAAGAATGGGCTTGGGTGCTTTACCATCACAGGCACCTTTGGGTAGCTTGACATGCTTTAGTTTTCTATAAGTAAAACTAATACTCGGTGAGGAATGTTGCATGGATAAACACTGAACTTGTGTTGTTTGCATGTGTAATGGTAATGGTAACCTAACAAATACCTTATAAGAGAAAACCACTTTTAATCATTCAGATCCACTGATCTCAATCATTGTCACAGTCTTTGGAAGGTAAGTATACCTGTGATTCAGTTACTGTTCTTTTATGATCTATTAAAACATACTTATCCATTCAAGACTGCATCTAAAATACCACAAATATTGTGTGTTTGATTTTTTATAACAGTCCAAATAAAGCCAGTGAACTTCTATAGGTGAATAACAACACAAAATCAGCCCACTACACTGATTAAATCCAGCTCTTCCCCCACTTATAGGAGAGTAAGGGGCTGTTTCAGCATATTTAGAGGTCAACGGTTGTGTGGTATTTTGGTATATGGTTGGTAAAAAAGCTGTCTCCCGAAAATTGCTCAGCTACCCAAAGAAAATACACTGTTCTACTGGTTAACAGACTGGTGGTGTAACAGACTACCACATCAGCAGTTAATGTGGAGTTCTTCAATGAACCGTTCCTAGTTAACTCTAATTAAGGCTGATGGCTGTGTGGTAGGATTGCTGCACACTTGCTGTCCTCATTCACGCTGATTGATTCAATGGCAAACATACATTGACCTTGAAGGCATTTTCCAGTGAGCTGTTATTTTTTCAGGCTTCAGGAAGAAAACTGGATTTTGTTTAAAATGTTTGTCTGGCTTCTATTAGGGGAAGGGCATGTCTGGTCAATTTAATCACAGCATTTTTCTTTATCTTTCCAATATAGTATCTAGTTTCATACAGCAGTTTTCATCACTAGATTTCCCAGGGATTTTACAAAAGGTGTTGCTATTATTTTCACCCTTATATAGCTGGGGTAACTGGGGAAAATACAGGCATTGCAACTTCCCCACAGTCATTTGGTTAGCAATAGTAGATCTGGAAACAGAATGAGAATATCTATCTCTCTGTATGTTTAAGAACTCATATAACAAAAAATACCTTGTTATATACAGTAAATATGGATAAAATGCATTTGAAAAAAGAAACCCTAACTTTTTATGTCTTGAAATTTTTGAAACACCTTTCAAAGATTCATAAATTTAACATTAAGCAGTTTAGATGATTATTGCACTTAGTGTATGGGATTACATGATATGAGGTCTTAGAATGTCAGTGCTTGAGGTGAGAACATTAATCAGTGTGTGGATAAAAACCAACTACCTGCAATTGTTGGTATAGTGTTTTTCTTTGGTGTTCAACCCAAATACAATACTGTTTTATTATGTATCCAGAATACTTGAAAAAAAGTAATGCAGACCCCCCCAAAAGCACATAGAGAAAGCAATAAGACTGTCCAGAGATTCTGGTTTGGTCAACAGAGGAGAATGAACTATAGAAGAAGAAACTTTGCATGTCCCTATTTTCAACTTTGGGTGTGTCAGATGTACTTCTACTGCTATATAGATGACAATTTGAACCCGTCAAGGGTATTGATAATTACATGAGCAAAGTTGTGTGCCGATCGGTTGGTGCCAGCCAGCTCTCTGCCAGGCTTTTGATTCCAGTGACTGACCTGAGAGAAGGGCTGACCAACCACACTGGAGACAGGAGAGACAGAAGTAATGAAAGTACAAAATGGCTGTCATACCCTGCCATACATGTCTCTGTACGCCTCGGCAATCATAAGCCGCTGTGAATTGCAGCGCTGCGTTAGAATATCAATCAACACATCTTTTTCACAACCTGTGAAGGAAACATGACACAGACTCTAAATTAACAAAGTGTTGTTATTTACTTACATTTGTGATTGTTCATGTTTTGTTCAAGAACACTAACCTAATTTCTTGAAAAAAAATAGATCAACAGATTAATATCTGGCTGGTATTTACCAACATCAGTTATATTTACTGTGCTCATGTACCTTTCACTTGCTGGTGTGATACCAGCAAAAAGTGAAGTAGTCTGTTATTATCCAATGCATCACAATCTCTTTCAAGCTCAAAGGATTTGAAAGCATTCATAAAACTGAGAGAGGCTTTCATCTGTTCCGAACTGGGCACACTCGCAGAACTTGTGGCTGAGCCTGGGAAGTCATACTTGTATGCTCTGTTGATATTGATTAAATTGTCATTCCTGCATTAGGGATCTCTTTTATGGGGATGACAAATTATGGTCAGACCATTTGTTGAAAAACTGAGAGAGATACATTTTCAGAGGAACTATATAAAATAAGTTATGAAGTTTTAAAAAATATAATATTTTAACCAATTTCCAAGGGCATTTTATTGAAGGTTGCCTATGATCTTTTGTTTGATGACTAGATATACTGCTAAACTTCTATAATGAATCAGTACTTACTGCTTATGGAAAAGATGATGATGATTAACGCATTCTGAAAATTATTTTTAATTTTAATTTTTTTGTCCATCCCAAAAGTTGGCTCTTGGTAATTTCAGATGGCTAAAATAATGAAATGTCATGATTTAATGATATCCCAGCATAAATTTATCTCCAAGTGTAAATCAGCTGACTTTATCACACTTGCAGCAGAGATGAATTAGGCTGGAAAGCACAGGGATCAGCTGGCATCTGGATGGTGTAGAGTTGTCTTTCAAGTTTCTACAAGCCATTGTTATATAGGCATATATATATGTTACAGATACACATTCTATACCTATTACAGCTTTGTTAGACAGATTTTATCGTACAATCTACAACTGACAGGTTCCATTTTGACAAAAAAGTAATTGGACATTGATTTTTTTTTTTTAAAGTTGGCAGCGGAAGTATATATTTGCTCGCTGTACACCAGGTTGAGCTCTTTTTCATCTGGATCATCTAGTCACAATTACACCAGCTTTTTAGCAAGACACTGATTTAACATCTGTCTGATTCATTTTCATGAAACTCACAAAATGGAAGTATTACTGAAACTGTGCATAAGGATTTCTTTTTACTTTTCAGAAAATAGTTATCACTAGGAATCTGTACAGCTTATATAGTCTTTACAGTAAAAACTAAGAAGGACTCAGGAAATATTTGAAAACCTAAATAACTTTATTCATTTGTGTAAAAACACTGGTGTCATATGCAACTGAACATATTTGACTGAACCTCCTCACAAGAATGAATGTCGTGTGCAAGATTTGGGGTCAGGGTGCCTGTAAAAGCTATGGAGACTTAAACTCTCTGAAGCTGAACTTTTTATTTCACCAGTTGTCCTTGAAATTAGAACTTTGTTTCATGTACTTTGATAGGTAAATTAAAAGTAAGGTTAATGTGCTTGTATTTTACGGTATCGAATGCAGAAAATAATCTCTGCGTTGTCATGTTAGCAACATTGCATTAAAAGTACTGTTTGAAGTTTAGCAAAATGTTTAAAACTTTTCATCTGTAGCCAGCTTAATCAAAAAGATATTTCAGATTTCCCTTGATCAATAATACCCATTGTGGTTCATTTGGCATTAAGTCTGAGTCCTCACATTTCCATTAGAAACTGAAAACAGAATGCACAATTTGGTGCTGTACAACATTGTGAAAGGCTCAAGAGGTATAAAAATTCTGGTACAGAAAACAATTTTAATGTGAGGAAAATGTTTCAGATAGATAGTAAAAAAAAATAAACTCAATATCAGCAATACCAACAATGTTCAACAGGAAAACACAAAAAACTGAACAGAGTGCTTTGGTGAACAAAAATTTTTTGTGTTCTTAGACTGAAAGCAAAAATTGCTCTTGAGTAAAAGATAATAAATTCTTTAAACTTTCTACTCCATTTATTTCTTGATGACTGATTAAAAGACTTAACAGTAATAGTTAATTGTTGAAGTTACAATGAAAAACCTTTCCTTTGTTGGCCTTCACTGTAGTGGCATAACACAGAATTCTGTTTTCTTTTTCTTATTTTCTCAAGGAAAGCATTCATTACTGTAAGTGTTGGCATAGATTTTAGATTAATCTTAATCACCTCTTAGTTCCTGTAAATGCAAATACATGATTTCTTTGGACATCACCAGTGTGTCTTATTGTGATACCTTGAAGAATCAACAGATACGTCGTGACACTTTTAATATTATGAGTTTTAATTTTGCCTAATGTTTTTATTTTATGAGAGCTTTCTGAAAAAAAAAAAGATGTGTTAGAATCAGTCAAGATACTCACTAATTCCCTGTAGGGCTCCTCCTAGCAATTGGGCATCCATAATAGGGTTAAAATTTGGAGCAGGAAAAATCGTTCCTTGTATCTGCTAAAGGAGAAAGCAGCCTTTAATTGAGGTGTTTTACGTCTATAACACTGCATATATGATTCTGTTCAAAATCAACAATAATAACATTCAGTTGTCTTTGTTTCATGGGGAACAGGATGCAAAGTTTTTAATTTATGAAACAGAACTTAAACTTGCAGTAAGCCCTAGGAAGACAGACCATATCTGAGGAAGTTCCCCATAGCATGAGTTAGGCCTTTAGTTTAATTTAGTTAAATTAAAATTTTAACACTAATTAATTTTTTTTTGCATTAAAATATAACCACATTTTTGTGTCTATCTCCCAACCTTTTTCTGAAAATATCATTTTATCTTTCAAAGTTAATCCATTATATCCCTGACAGTCTTCAATATCTATTTCTCATGGTATTTCTAATTTGAAAGGACTAGTGAGAAAATGATGAATGAGATACATAGGTTGCTTCCAAACCTAGTGAATTTTTAAAGAAATTATGTTATTGCTAAGTGTGAGATAGCTTTTTGATAAGCCATGTAGAAGGCAACACCATTTTTCTAGTTGCTTTGTAGGTGATTAAATTACTGTCAGTTCATTCTCAATGATACTTTATTTAATATATTTTTCTTATTCAAGAAATCTGTGAATAATAAACAGAACTGGTGTACTCATTTTAATAGAATCACAGGTCCATACATGTGCAGAAGAAAATAACTGATGTTGAAAGCTACTTAGCTCTGTCCCCTGGTTAACCTCTTTAGTTTCTCTGAGAATTCTACCTTCTTTTCCAGACGTATGAAGTATAAAGGTTATCTTTTGTCATGATTCCTGATCTCAGTCAATACATCTGGTTAAAATGACACTGTTATCTTGAAATTTACATTTCAAGGTAAAGTGGGATATATTTTATAAATATAAATGGGGTATTTTTACAAATAGGTCCTAGAATCAGGAGTTACACTGATTACACTAATTTGTTTTTTTGTTTGTTTGTTTGCTTTACATACACTTGAAAGTAATTTATATATTGTGCCTTCAGTAGTGATGACGTACATACACATACAGATTTTGTGTATGGCTGCTAATCATGCTTCCCTGGCTTGCAATTTTATCAAAGCAATTAAAAAGCACCAAGCAAGATGTAGATATTTTAGATGAAAAGGAAAACATAATTTCTTGATATGTTTGATCATTACTTTAGACCCACCAAGCAAAGGTAGGGGCAACAAATTGTCAGTGGCTAAGTGAGGAAAAGAATGTCTGTTCAGAAATTTCAGATTTTTAAAGGAGTTACTTTAAAAAGTACTAATAGGGCAACATGCCTTTACACAAAAAAGAAAGTATTCATCAGTAGACAAATATACTTCTGCAGCTTGTTCATCACTTAAATACAAGGTCCTGCTTTTACAACTGAAGATAAAACACAGCGTGCCTTTTTACTCATTAAAACAATCAGGAAAATAATAAGAAAAAAAATCTTTTGGAAATATGGAGATAAATACTGGCCATAGAGAAGACAAGGAGACCATGCCAATTTTTGTAGGTTGATATATGTTGTTGTATCTGAAATGAATTGCAGACTCATCTTCAAGATATGCACCATCCCATCTTCCTCTGTCAGTGTGGGAATTGTCTGTGTACCCTGGGCCTCACTTGTCACTTAACTCATCTCTAGGGTAGGGATCTCCAGATATTAGCCTCAGAAATGGAGAGTTTATATCCTCCTGACATCCTAGTTACTGACAGTACACATACTTCTTCAGATGTTGTTCACCAGAAGTTTCCTAGGCACGTGCCGTTCACGGCAGTGTGGAATCAAGTGCTATTTGGCCAGAAGGTACATGTGGCTCCATTCTTCCCCCCTTGCTAGCACATCAAAATAATGCTGGCCTTACTTCAATCATCATTCTCTGCAGCTCAGGGGACAGAAATGCTTGAGCCCTGTGGCTGGTCAGCTGGACAAATCACCCCAAAGCTTACTAATAAACAAAATCACTATGGAAAGAAGTGCTAGAAGACACTGTTAGAATGCAGAATCGAAAATATATATTGACATATGCTATGAGTTAGGAAAAAATGAAATTTAGCTTTCTGGCCCTGTAATTCATGCTTCCCAAAATGTGAGATGTAAAAAAGCTCATCAAACTCGAGAGGAAAAACAAAACAAATCCAAAGCCAACACATCACCAAATATTATGTTAAGGTTGCCAAAACAGAAAACATTTTGATGGGATTAATAACAAAGAATAGTAGGATGCAAATGGATGCAAGTAACAGATACAAGATTCAAAGACTTTGAGCCTGCACTTGAAACCAAAGGTAGAAAGCATAAGTATATCTGGCGTTCAGCTTAAGCGCCCTCAGAACCTGTCACAGCCGTCGCTGATCAGAAGGATGGCAGTGGGGAGGAGAGAAAATGTAGGACATGTGTGCATTTATTTGAGCCTAATTTAAAATACCAGTGCTGGCTCTTCATCTCTGCATCAACTTTGAACAGGTTGAATTCCCATAAAGATTAGTTAGCGCAAGGTATTTCCTTTCACACATTCAAGTTTGTAGTGTCACAAAATGAACCAGTATGTCACTGATCTTTTCAGCATTTACAACGCTTGCACTAAAATCAGAAATAAGTGGCTAACTTAGTGGATGCTTAAAGGGTGGATCCCTGCATAGTACTTGGATTGAAAAACGAGTAAAAGTGTTTTCGAAGTAGATATTGCCTCTCAGTCAGAATGGAGGCAAGCATTAATAATTTCTGAATATATATCTTTGTTCATGAAACAGTCTGAACAAAAAAAAGGGCTTTGCATGAATGCATATTTGCAAAAACATAATGAAGGGACTGATAATAGCAAAACCAGTTTTGAATATACAGACTCACAGGCTTGTAAATATTTGACCAAAAAACTCAACGCAGCCCTTGTAATATATCTTTCAGGCAAAAGAAAAGATTTTTGAATGTGCTCAGTTCTCCC